CATCACAGTGTTTCTACAGCAGGAAGGCTAGAAACCTAAACGTCTGATAACAAGGAGATGATCTAATGAATTATGGAACAGCAATGGACTGAAATATTACATTGCCATTAACAATGATGCTCTCCAATAATACTTAATAAAATAGAAAAATGTTCAGCCTTGATTTAACATTAAGTGAAATAGAAAGATGATGATGATCATATGCATATGTGCACAGAAAGAATGGATGTGAATATGTCAAGTTTTTTACATTTATATCTAAGTGTCACTGAAGATTACTTTTCTTCATTATACTTTTCTATGTTGTATAATGTTCATAATGATTTCATATTTGTTTAAATGTCTGTAAAGATGGGCATTTCAAAATTTTTAAGAAATCAGTGAGTCTGTGGGCTAAGTGCCAACAGCAACGTGAACTTCAAATGCCTGTCGGAAAGGTACAGTGCCAGCTTACAGGGAGACAGGCACAGGATCCCAGAGGAAAGGAAGGTCAGTCCTTGAGAGCTAGTTTAAGCAGAAGTTCAAAGAAGAAAGATCCAGAGATGAGCCTGGACTGAGGATTTGCATTGAAGAGCAGAAGGCGAATCTTACACAGTAAGTTCCAATTTGCCTTTCATCACAAATAAATTAAGCAGACTTGCTTTGAAAAAAAAAAAAAAGTAGGTCACCTTTGAACTTTATTTTTTACTTTTTTTTTTTTAAACATTTTTTTAGTTGTCAATGGACCTTTATTTTATGTGATGCTGAGAATTGAACCCAGGGCCTCACACATGCTAAGTGAGTGCTCTACCACTGAGCCACAACCCCAGCCCACCTGTAAACTTTAAAATGGTTTTAAGTGCACAAACTCAGAATGTGTGCCAACACCCCAGGCTGGCTCCAGACAGTCACAACCAGCCAGGAGGGAGCATGACACCAAGAGAAAGTGGTGGTAGGTGAAGGGTAGTTTCCAGCTGGGGTCTTCCAGCAGGTGGAAAATCTGGAGTGTCCAACAGGGATGGCAGGTAGGGAGAGGAAAAGAGAAACCATCACCACAAAAACCACTCAGCAAGGGGTCTGGTCTATTTCCACAGGTCTTCAAAATCAAACAAAAACCCAGCACACACACCAGCACAAAAGGAATAAAATTATTCAAAAATTCATAAAAATTTTAAATTTAAAACCACACCCACTACCCCAGTAAGTCCATTGCTAATAAAGTACACAGGGATAAACTCATAGAATTACTCAAAGGTTTGTGTTCAAACAACTTCATGGAAGCATCATCCTAGCAAGTTACAACATATTTAATGGAATCCCATTTATCTGGGGGTGTTTGTCTAAGGAATGTGTGTGTGTGTGTGTGTGTGTGTAGTAAATATATATATTCATACACAGAAAATATCCATGAAAATTACATCTAAGGAAATGTTAACTAGAGGACTGGAGTTGTAGACCAGCGGTAGAGCGCTTGCCTTGTACGTGTGAGGCACTGCATTCGATTCCCAGAACCACATGTAAATAAGCATTTAAAATAAAGGTCCATCAACAACTAAAAAAATATAAAGAAAAAAAAAAGAAAGAAAATGTTAACCAGGACTCATTATGCCAAGTAGTGGAGGGTCTTGAGACCACCTTAAAATCTACTGGCAGAATTTATCACAAAGTCAATATTGCTTTTACTTAATTTTGTCTTTCTTTCAAGAAAAAAAGATGCTAGTTGATGCAACTATTTATAAAAAACAGGAGGTAATACACCCACTAGGAAGGAGAAGATGGAAAAAGATTGAGATAACCTTGCAACTTTGATTCTATGATAATATTGGTATTTAAGAGACCATTCAAAATTATTATAATTACAACAGATAATTTTTCAAAAATTTTAGTTGTAGATGGACACAATACCTTTTATTTATTTATTTTTATGCGGTGCTGAGGCTTGAATCCAGTGCTTCAAACATGCTAGGCAAGCACTCTACCACTGAGCCACTACTCCAGCCCCAAAAGATAATTTTTTAAAATCTCTCTGTAATATTGCAGCAAAACCATTACTTTAGAACATGTAATTTTTTCCTATTTCTGTAGGTGTGCTCAACTAATCCATTAAAAAGTTCAAACAGGAGCTGGGTACAATGGTGGTGCATACCTGTAATGCCAGCAACTCTGGAACCTCAGGTGGGAGGATCACAAGTTTGAGGCCAGCCTGGGCAACTTAGTGAGATCCTGTCTCAAAATTAAAAAAAATAAAAAGGATGCAGGTGTAGCTCAGTGGTAGAGCACCTCTGGATTTAATCTCTAGCAACACACACAAACACACACACACACACACACACTAAACTTCAAACAGGAAAAAAAATGATACTTTAATTTTTAGAGTACTAACATACACAGACTTATTACATAAGGATAAACTTTTTTTTTTTTTTTTTGAGGTGGGTCTCAGTATGTTGACCAGACTGGTTGCAAACTTGTGAGCTCAAGTATCCTCCTGCCTCAGCCTCACTACAGGTGTGGGTCACCATTCAGACAGCTGCCCACTTCCACTTCCTACTCTTGGGATATACACCCAGAACTCAACTGCCATGATGTGAGGAAGCCCAAGCCACAAGGAGAGACCTCCTGTAGGGTTCTGACAGCCCAGTCTGTGGTCCCAGAGAACCACCAGCATCATCTGCCAGACAAGTGAATGAGACTTTCAAGATGACTTCAACTCCAGCCACCATCTATCATGACTACAAATTCATGAGACTCCCAGTGAGAGCTGCCTCGTTGAGTGGAGGCAACCCACAGAACCATAAGAAAAATGTGTTGTTAAGTCCCTAAGTTGGGGTGATTTGCTTAGTGATACATACCTAGAAAAGAAAACCAAGATGATAAAGAAAGGTCAGAGACTGGCCCCAAGCTGACATCATGTCTGCTCAGCTTCAACAATTACACAGCTGCTGCAGTCCAGCTGCAGCAAAATAACCGGGGGTGGGGGGGGGGGGTGATTAGCAACTTGTGTAGATTGATACAGCAGGAGTGGGAGCCCTTTATTGTAGGACGGGAGGGGTATACATACATTCCACACAGCTTATCTTAATTAACATAAACGAGATACAGCAGTCAACCAGTAAGGAAGCTCCACACTTAATGGCTCCCTGGCGTTACTTCACAAACCACTCCCTCTGGCAAAATGCCAGGCACCATCTTGACTTGTTTAGAGACCCTAACACACAGCATTAACTGCTTGCTCCCTGCTACACAAATGATCCAAAACAAAAAGGAGAAGGACAGCAATACACTACAGACTGATCAAAGCATCCCTACACATGTGAGCACTGCCTAGAAAACAATAAGAAAGAATACATGGAAAATCCAAAAATTAAAGACCAACATGATAATCTAGCATGCCCAGGTGTATTCTGACCCCATGCTATGGGTCCAACTTGCACCATTACTCACTTTTCCTGTTCATTCTGCTTCTATGATTCCGTCTCTGTGATTTTCTGTTCTGAAATGTTCTCTCCACTGTTAGCTACTTGTAAAACATTTCATTCATGATCAGGTCTTAAACCAGAATGAGAGGCTGCATGAACTCTCGGACTGGATTTTAAGATAGAAGAAAGAAAGGGAAAAGATGTTATCACTAAACCAAATAACTGAAAGCTACCAAAATGAGATGAGCCAGGGTGGGGGCACACATAGGTAATCCCAACTACTCTAGAGGCTTAGGCAGGAGGATTGGGAGTTCCAGGACAGCCTCTGCAATACAAGACCCTATCCCAAAACTCAAAAATTTAAAAAAGGGCTGGAGATTTAGCTCAGTGGTTCAGCCCCTTTAGGGCATAAAACATAAAATGCAAATTATATATACTTTAAAAATATTTTTTAGTTGTAGATGGACACAATACCTTTATTTATTTATCTTTATGTGGTGCCCAGGGCCTCACACATGCTAGGTGAGTGCTCTACCACTGAGCCACAACCCCAGCCCATACATATGTACTTTATATACTCATATATACATATGACTATATGTAGTTACTAACATTAGGGTTTTTTTCTTTATTATTTTATTTATTTATATTTTGGTGTCAGGAATTGAAACCAGGGTGCTTAGCCACTGAACCACACCCCCAGTTCTTTTTATTCATTTTTTTTCTTTTTAGACAGAGCCCAAGTTGCTTAGGGTTTCCAGAATTTGCAGAGACTGGTCTTGAACTTTAGATCCTCCAGCTTCAGCCTCCAGGGTTGCTGGGATTAGAGGTGTGCTCCACCACACCAGCTAACATTGAGAGGGATAGATACATATTTACACACACACACACACACACACACACACACGCGCGCACACACATATTTAGGAAACTGAAAAGAGAAGTCACTTCTTGGAGTGCGGCAAGAAGAGTGTATGAGGCAAAGACGGATATGTTTAAATATATTGTGCAATTTACAGCATTCACAAAAAACAATTAGGATACAATGCAGGTTTAATATAACTAGCATAGTTCCAACTTGAAACAGCAAAGGAGGCTGGACTTGTATGCGCCTCTGGCTGACAGCCATAAACGACAATACCTGAATAGTGATGCTGAACACGACAGCGAACCGCGCTGCTGGCCGCAGATTGGCCACGATCCACAAACCCAACGCGGGCAAACTTTTTTTTACCCCTTTTCTAGGATGAGGCCCACTTCCCAACTTCTAAGTAACCGTTTCTAATTTCACTAAAAGGATGCTTCTAAGTTCCTGTGAACCCAGCTGCTATAGAAACACTACTGCTCGACCCCCAAAATGAAACGCACGCCCAGGTCCGGCAACTGCACGCCGAGCACGTCACCCTGGCAGGGCGCCGGCTGCGAGCGCCCACGGCCACCCGGAACATTCAGAAACGGAACCTCGCCCGGCGCGGCTCTGAAAACCCGGCTCCCGCACCTCCGGCCTGCACCGCCCGGCGCCGGGGCGGAGCGGCACTCGCCCGCCCAGCCCCCAGAACGGCCCGGCCCGGCGCGCCGCCCCGGCCCTCCCGGCTCACTCACTCTTCATCCTGCGCGCGGAAGTCGGCGACAACCCCTGGCCGACCCTGCGCGGGAAAGACACGGGCAGGAAGGCCGGCACCTGCCCTCCTCTCCCTCAGGCGGGATCCTGTGCTGGGACCTCCGCGATGGCCCCTTGCCCAAGAGCGTTAGGATACAGCCGCCATATTGTATCCTTGTCACCCTGGCAACCGTCGGCCCTGACCGCCCCCGAGGTGGAGCCGCGCGTGCGCAGAAGCCTGCCCTCATACGCATGTGCAATGCGGCCCGCCTCCTCTGCGTGGTTGCTTAGCGACCGCAGCCGCCGCCGCTTCAAATTTAAACCCTCGCGGGCTGGAGTCTCCCGGCTGTCACTCAGCAGTTCCGAGCCTGAAACGCGGAAGAGATCCTGCAACTTCTACTGGCTCGAGAAATATGACTTTAAATGACACCTCTTCTTTGCCACCTCATCCCGCAGTTGAGCATCTACCGGTCTGGTACGAGCGATTACCCAATGAATTTGTACGTTTTTCTTTTTTTTTCTTTTTCTTTCTTTCTTTCTCTCTCTCCCTCCCTCCCTCCCTCTCTTTCTCTCTTTCTTTCTTTTTTTCTTGTAGTTGTAGATGGACAGAATGCCTCTGTTTTATTTGTTTATTTTTATGTGGTGCTGAGGATTGAACCACTCCCTCACGCATGCTAGGCAAGTGCTCTACCACAGAGCTCGTTTTTCTTTTTTAATTGAGCAAACGTTTCTTTTGCCAGCGCTGTTGCTGGAGAAGGGGGGACATGAAGGAGCACAGGTAGGCGAGGTGGCGGACTTCTCGAAACTCGCATTCTGTGGTAAAGCTGCATGCATCTAGGGGGGACCTACGTGCAGATGCGACCCGCGACAGGTGAAGAGCCAGGTTATCCCTACCACTACTGCGGGAGATCGGCGTCCCTCTTTTCTGAGAGTAAAGAAGTAAAATGTGCTGATTTGAAAGAATCGGAGAAGAAAAGAAGCAAGGAGAATAAAGAAAAGGAATGTATAAAATTTGAAGAAATACTTTCAAAGTTCTTTCCTTCATCTCATTCTCTCTCCTCCTCAGAAAAGGAGACCGACAATAGTTGATAGGCGTCTTCTTGTCCAAATACATAATTTCTGATTATGTATTTGGACAAATTTTCCCATAATTGAAAACCATAGATAAATCATACATATTCTTCTATAGTTTTCTTTTTTTCATTTAATATATTATAGTCACTCTGAGTTTGTTTGGGGTTCTGAGGATTGAACCTAGGGGCGCTTTACCATTACATCCCCAGACTTTTTCTAATTTTAATTTTTTCATTTTGAGACAGGGTCTTGCCAAGTTGCCGTGGCTGGCCTGAAACCTGTGATCCTTCTGCTTTAGTCTCCAGAGTTACTGGGACTACAGTCATATGACATGTGACTGGCTAGTCACCTTTCAATATTGGCACAAAGAGCTATCCTACGCTTTTTTAAATTTTTTAAAAAATTGTTGATATTTATTTATATGTGGTACTGAGAATCTAATCCAGTGCCTCACACATGCCAGGTAAGTGTGCTACCGCTCAGCCCCAGCCCCAGCCCCTAACCTATGCTTTTTAACAGGTATGTTATATTACATGATATAATTTTTCCCTAAAAATGCTTTATTTTTCACAATTACAAACAAGACCAGAAAGTATCCTTGTACATATCTTTAAACATTCGTGTGATTGCTTTGATAGGAGTTAATAGGTTAAAAGGCATTCACAATTTAAATGTAGAAAATCACTCACCAGCAATATTCTACCAACATATAGAAAAGTCTGTACACAAATTCCCTCTTCTCCACTCCGGTGTGGACACTGGCTATTATCTATAAGATTAAGACAACATTCGGAAAAACTGATTTGAAACATATAATACAAAAATCTTAAAATATTCTGTGTGTGTGTGGGTGTGGTACTGTGCATTGAACCTAGAGGCCCTCTACCACTGAGCTACACCTCCAGTCCTTTTTAATTTATTGCCTTGAAATTCAGATCCTCTCCTCAGCTTCCCAAGTAGCTCAGATTAAAGGCATGTGCTACGACACCTGGCTTAAATTTTTTTATGGTTAAAAAAAAATTAGTAGTGTTAAAAAACTATTGGAGGGGCTGAGTTTTGGCTCAATGGTAGAGCGCTTACCTAGCATGGGTGAGGCATTGGGTTCGATCCCCAGCACCACATAAAAGTAAATAAAATATATATATATATATATATATATATATATATAAAACTATGGGAGGCCTTCATTTTGGGAGGAGCTTCCACACTAGCCCACAACAAACCAGACCAAACCAAAATGGAGTCACTCGTGCTAAATGCCACCATCAAACTGAAAATTTAAGCAAATAGATCCCAAAACACACTAGTTTTTCCCCAAAACAGGAGATCCAGTCTACCCAAGTCAGCTTTGCTTTCACTCCTGCCAAAATAATACAACTTGACACTAACCCATCAGCTTTCTTTCTATTGTTCTGTTACCACCTAATAAAACCCATAGTTCTGTTTTTGCATAGTGGGAGCTCTCAATCTGTTTTGAAGAATGGAGGCTGCCCCAATTCTTGAATCTGGAACAAAATCCAATTCGACCTATAACTAAGTATGTTGTGAATTTATCTTTTGACACTAGAAAAATGTCAAAGGACAGCTGGATGCAGAGACCCACACCTGTAATCCCAGAGACTTGGGAGGCTATGGCAAGAAGATCAGAAGTCCTAGTCTGATCAATTTAGGTGACAGTCTCAACATCTTAGTGAGATTCTGTCTCAAAAATAAAAATTTAAAAGGAATGGAACCAGGCGTGGTGGCACATGCCTTTAATCCCAGCAGCTCGGGAGGCTGAGACAGGAAGATCTCAAGTTCAAAACCTGCCTCGGCAATAGTGAGGCGCTAAGCAACTCAGTGAGACCCTGTCTCTCTATAAAATATGGCTCAGTGTCAAGTGCCCCTGAGTTCAATCCCTGGTACCCCCCACCCAAAAAGGGCTGGAGATGTGGCTCAGTGGTTAAATACCCCAATACCAAAATAATAATAATAATAATAATAATAATAATAGGAGGAGTAGTAATTGGAAGCCACTGAAAAGCAGTAAGAGGGGGGAGAATATCCTACCTTAAGAAAAGAAATTTTTAAAGTCACCTGGTTTCTGGAATCAACCGATTTGTTGAAGCAAATTAGAAGCAACATCTGAAAAATCCTTCTGTTTCTCTATTTTTCTTTTGTATGATCTAACAGTTTGACATGTACATATTGTATAATGAAGCATTTTTGTTTCTGGATTTATTTTTGTTTTCCTTTCAATTTTTTCCCTCAGAATTCAACTTTATGATTGGAAGTTCTATTGTCTCCATCTATGTGCCCCTGGATCCATAGTCAACACAAAAAAAGTGTAGAAAGAAAGTAGGAAGGTAGTTTAGGTAGTTCATGGGAATTGTTCAGGAGATAAACAAAGGAGGTCTGGCTGATAGAAGAGTGAGGAAAATCAAAGCATCAACTCATGTCTGACCTCTGAAGAATAGCATCCCAGAAAAAGAAAAAATACAGATTATGAAATCTCCATCAGAAACATTCTTCACAAAAGTGTTTCTAGAGTGGACAGGGACATTTCTGAGTAGAAAGGCCTGAGGACTGGCCAGAATGTGGAGTTTGATTTTTTTCACCAGTATTTACTGAGCACCTATTATGGCCCAGCACTACTCTAGTCACCTAGGACACAGGAATTAAAGATCCACACCAAGGTGCACTTATGACATTTCAGAGCACAGGGGATAGTGAGAAGTTCTAAACAGTGTTGAAAGAGAAAACCTAGATATATCTAAAAACCCGGGTTCCAGCACTGGAAGTCCCAATTGGGACATCTCATTGGACTGGACATAGAAGATAAAGTGCGGCTTTCTGCTGCTGAGGGATCTCTGTTCTAGAGTTCTCTAGTTATTGGCCAAGTGGGAGGGTAGAAGAAAAATTGTGTTCAGATGTGCAGGACTCCGAACTTTTCAGTGATCCTCAGCACCACATAAAAATAAATAAATAAAATAAAGATATAGGGCTGGGGATGTGGCTCAAGCGGTAGCGCGCTCACCTGGCATGTGCAGGGCGCTGGGTTCGATCCTCAGCACCACATTAAAAAAACAAAGATGTGTCCACTGAAAATTAAAAAATAAATATTAAAAAATTCTCTCTCTCTTAAAAAAATAAATGTATAAAAAATTTTAAAAAGAGAAAGGAAATTAGCAAAGTAAACCCAGAGGAACACAAACAGTTCTTTGTCAGAAAGAAATGTAATTATAGTAAACCTTGTGGCTCAGTTGGGAACAGTGTTTATAGAAACAACAATGTAAATACTGAATACTTATTTGGCTAAAAAATTAATGGTATTATTATTTGAAAATCATAGGAAAGGGGAGTACATGTGAGTTGGGAAAATGTTGGAAAAAGAACTATGACCTAATTTGTATAAAACGAACTTGACAGATAGTGTCTAAAATTGAAAAAAAAAATAGTATAATCATATTACTTAGATTATGGGAGGAAAAGGCAGAAGAAATCAGCGCTCACAATGGTTACCTGTAGGAGCTGGATGGTGACAGGGAGGGGATGGGCTGGACCAATGTTCTTCATCATAAGCTTTTAGTACTATATGGCTTAAAATTATATATTTGTTTTCTTTTTCTTAAATATAACACTTCAATTTTCAAAAAGCATCATTTAGTGTTTTAAGAACTTAAAATCAGGGGCTGGTGTGTAGCTCAGTGTCAAGTGCTTGCCTGACAAGCACTAGAGTTTGATCCCCAGTACCACTTACCAAATTCGTAAATATTTAGAGCATATGCATATTTTAAACATTTAATGCCATTTTTAATTTTTTGATACCAGGGATTGAATCCAGGGCACTTAGCCACTGAACCACATCCCCAGCCCATTTTTATATTTTATTTAGAAACAGGGTCTTCTGAGTTGCTTTGGGCCTCTATAAGTTACTGAGGCTGGCCTTGAACTCGCCATCCTCCGGCCTCAGCCTCCCGAGCTGCTGGGATTACAGGTGGCGCTCGGCCTAATGGCATTTCTTATTTATTTAATTTATAAATAGAAGAGTTGTTGAGAAATTCAATGTTAAACCTGTTTTGCAAGTTGAAGCTTTAGTAACAGAAGAAATGAAGGCGAATGTTATGGGATACGTAGAAGGCCTGAGCCAGTGTCTGAAATGCCCTTCACGGGAAGGG